ACACAAGGCTGTGACCATCCAGCTTGTCCCCACCTCTGTCCTGTTTCTCTGTCTCACCATGTTTTTCTATAGGAAGAGGCACAGGTGGGCAGCAGCCACGGGGAAGGCCACGTGATAAACACTGGGTCTCATAAGCGCCCTGCCTCCTCTCCAATCTGGACTTCTGCTGAGCAGGGCTGGTTCCCAGGAATTCTGAGCTGGGGCGGCAGGTGGCAGGCCCACTTCTCTGTCTGTGTTGGCGGGCTGTGCTCGATGCCTGGCGGAGACTCTCCTCTGTGGGAGGATGGATGTGGATATCAATCGAGGAAGAGCTGCCTGGGGGACCATCAAGCTGGGGACAGAGGGAGGTAATTGTACCTTCATTCATTCACCCATTCATGTCATCAACTGTCACTTTCACAAACAAGTGTGGTAGGCGGGCGTGAGCTGGAGCCCAAGGACATAGGGACAATTCAGCAGCTTCTTTCGCCATCTAGAGGCACATGACGTCACTGGGGACAGAAATAGTGGGAACTGGGGAGGTAGCAGGTTACAAAACAAGGATACCTTGGTCTCTAGCCAATTAGAAAGCAGTGACAGAAGCCGCCATAAAAACTGTACAGTTGCTGGCATGGGGTGGGGGAACCTGCAAAATTAAGACCACGCTGGGCTGCAGTGACCAGACACTGGCATTACTATTGCGATCATCACCATCATTATCATTATTGTTTTGGGCAGGGTCTTTTGTAGCCAAGGCTGGCCTTGAACTCTAAGTAACTGAAGGTAACCTCACACGCACCCTGATTCTTTGCCTTCGCTCCCCAAGGCCTGGGATTACAAGCATGTGCCACAATGTGTGGTTTCATGCAGTCCTGGGATAAAAATCCAGGGCATTGGACATGCCAGACAAAGGCTCTACTGGTTGAACTACATCCTCGCCCATCACCACCACCACCAACAACAAACAAGGTCCTGTTTCTACAGCCCTGCCTGTACAGAACGTGTAATGGAAGTTTTGTTTTTTTCGTAAACTCAGTTATGTTACATAAATGTTTTTGTTTTAATCCCAAGTGTGGGATTTTAGTGGGGCTGTCGTTGGTCTGAAGTTGCTAATTGGCTTGTATGGAGGTTGGCTTTTACCAGCTGGTAACGGCCTACCTCTTGCCTCCTGTGGCATGGGGAGGGCAGCAGTCTAGGGCTCTGGGGATATAAATGAGAGCCCAGAAAGAGAAGGTTTGGTGTGCTGTGTTGGTGTGTGATCTGTAGCAGTCTGGAGAGACCCAAGAGATGGATGGTGGTTTAGAGCAGACAGAGAGAAATGGTTTGGGGTGCAGGGGCATGAAGGAGACTGCTGGCTGGTTTGCTGTTAATGGAGGTAGGTATATCCCCTAAAGACTCATCCACTCCAAACAGCCTGGAGAAATAAAGGGGCCTGTGTGACCTCTCCCCACTAGCCTCTTTCCTACATAGGGTTGGGAGGTTGGAAGAGAGATACAGGCCTGACCACCCCAAATAAAGTAGAGTTTTAAAAATGAGTGCTACAAGAACCCTCTCTCTACACAGACCAAGCTAGCTTTGAACGTACAGCAATCCTTGGGCTTCTGCCTCCCGATGCTAGGATCACAGGCACGAGGCTCTGCTCGGCTTGACCTCATTAACCTGAGAAACTCCTGGAGCGAGGGCTCAGCAGTCACAAGCACTTTTTTTTTTTTTTCTAGAGTAGCCAGGTTCCGTCCCAGCACCCACATGGCAGATCACAATTGTCTATATCTCCAGTTCTGAGGCTCCGACAACCTCTGCGGGCCCCAGGCACGTATGTGGTGCACAGACATGCATGTGAGCAAACCATATAAAATAAATCTAAACTTTTTTTAAACTCAGGGTAAAAACGACAACTTTTCTCCAACTAAAACACTTTTTTTTTTTTTTTTTTTTTGAGACAGGGTTTCTGTGTGTTAACAGTCCTGGGTGTCCTGGAACTCACTCTGAGGACCAGGCTGGCCTTATCCACCTGCCTCTGCCTCCAGAATGCTGGGATTTAAAACACACTTAATTCAACATCAGTCAAACTTCTGTTTGGATTTTATAGGCAGGGGTGGGTTTAACAAAATCCTGTATTCCATCTGAAAAAGAAAATACAGAATCTGGAATTGGTGAGTTTTAGTTAATTTCTGATTTTGTAGTTCATTTGACATAACCAGAAGGAGCAGGTAGGACCCTGGAACAAAACAGATGTTGACTTGAATCCGCTGAAAATATAAATTTATTCTTTGATAAAGAAGCTTTTCAAGACAGATGCAAAAGGGCTGGGGTTTGGGAGATGCCTCACTGGGTGAAAGCACTTGCTGCAAGGCCTGATGACCTTAGCTGGAACCCCATAACCCATGTAGAGGTGGAAGGAGAGAACAGACCCCAAAGAATAGACCTCTGACTTCCACAGCCACACTATGGCATACATCCCTCCAAAATACACAAAACACACTGTAATAAAAAGAAAAGTTAAGAGGCAAGAAAGAGATTTCAACCGATTTTTTTCAGCCTCCATGGGGAAGGTCTTTTCTTTACACACACACACACACACACACACACACACACACACACACACATTTTGGGGGAGGGGGAATTCTACCTGTAAGAAATTTGACCAAAGATAATTAACCCCAAATAGTACGCTCATGACTTTAGCTGATCTCTAAGGCTTGAGATCACACACATTAAAGAAAAAGAAAGTCTCTCTCCCTATGATCAAGTCATCTAAAGCAAACATTGCAAACTAGAGGGAGGAAAAAAGAGAAGAAAAGTGAAAAGCCCATCTTGAGCCCACTACGCAGTTATCCCGTCCCCCAGGGGACATAATGTAAACTATGGAGTTTGGGAACCTGCGGAGTTCACACCATGTCTTGTTGTGAATGTTTAATATCCTTTGAAAATCTAATTTCTGAGGGTTTTTTGCTTCCTATTTCTTAAGAGGCAGACACCAAGGCTTATTTAGCTTTTCCCCCTTGAAGGTGACTGTTTTCCAGGCTGTTATAATGTTTCCATGAACAAACTGCTGGCTTTTAAAGTCTCTTTTACTGATCGTTTTCCTGGACTACATCCTTCCAAGGGGTTAGTGGGTCAAAGGGCAAAGGGTGTTCCAGAGCCTTGATTAAACGCGGCAGAAGTGTGCCTGAAAGATGCGCACGCGCAGTCAGCTCGTGCTGGCTTCCCGTCTTCGCCAGCACCAGCATTATTTTTAGTGTTTTCGCTTTAGCAACTTGCTAAGCTCGCCGTGTACCGGCGTCAGTGCTAAGCATTATGTAATGTCGTCTTGATACACCCCCCCCCCCCCAGGAGGGGACACTTATTTTGCAGATGAAGAAACCGACGGAGAGGACCTCCCCAGTCCCTAAAGGTCGCAGGCTATGAAGGTCCCGACTCCTTCTCTACCTGCGCCTGCTTTTCCACACATTTGTTTGTTTGTTTACTTGTTTGTCTGCCACGAGTCTCTCTAGTCCAGTCCGACTTTGAATTTGAATTCGAGGTCCTACCGCCTCTGTCCCTCATTGCATTAAGGTTATAGCCTGGGGTCACTATGTTCGGCCAAGCCAGAACGCTTTTATTTAAAATTAATAACAATAACAATAGTAATAATAATAAATAGCTCTTTTGACCCGAGGTCTTGCTTTGCAGCCCCAGCCAGCCTGGAACTAGCGATCCTCCTCCTTCTGCCTTCCCTGTGCTGGGTTTACGGCAGTTTTCCGACCAGTGAATTTACTCCTGACCCTCGCTCCCTTCTCAGAAACACCCCTGTCCTTCAGGGATAAAGCCCATCCTTGCGGCTCGACCTTTCCAGCCCCACATCCAGGCTTCCTAAGCAAGCATCCCCCAGCCGCGGGCATCCCAGCGCGCTCCCGCCAGGTTGAGCCTCTTCGGTGCAATTAACTCCAGCCCCTGTGAAACGGGTCCCAGCGGAGCGAGGACACCTGGCACCTGCGCGGGCCGCACCCGGGCGAGTCCGAGGCCTCGGGGCAGCGCAGTCACCTGATTGCAGATGGTGATGTAGTGATTTGTCGGCGGCGGTCCCTAGCGCCACCGTGCGGCCAGGCCTCAGTCCGCTGGGCGCGAATTGTGGGGGTGACCCCGGGGCCGGGAGCGACGTAAAGGGAATTGCTAAGGCTAGCGGGGATTGAGGGGAGTCCTCGGTGGCAGGATGAGAGCAGCCAGGCCAGACGTGGTGGCAGAGGCAGGCGGAACTCGTGAGCTCCCAAATTAAGGGCTGGAGAGCTTGCTCGGCGGTTAAGAACATGGGTAGCTTTTCCAGAGAACCCAGGTTCGGTTCCCAACTCCCACAAGACGGCTCACAAACACCCATAAACTTTCTAGGGGATCAGATGCCCTCTTTGGGCACACACCTAGTACACACACAAACACGCAGGCAAAACATTCATACACATGACACATGAAATTCAAATATATCTTTAAAATGGGGAGGGAGATGTTCGTTCAGTGGTTAAGAGCGCTTGTTCTAGCGGAGGACCCGGGTTCGATTCCTAGCCCCCACAAGACACGATGCTCGTAATTCCAGTCCCAGGATGTTCATGATGTAAATGGTATACAGATTCACCTATGAACAAAACACGCATACACTTAAAATATTTAAAAATGTAAAAAGAAAAACTGAATTCCCAACACGCGCGCGCGCGCACCCCCTTCACTGCCGCTCGCTCCGGTCCCCGGTCCGGACCGTGGGACAGTGGTGGCCTCGGGAAGGTTAGTTGGGATCTGACCGTCGCAGAGGTCCCCCGCCATGCCCCTGCCGGATAAGCAGCCCAGGGAGCTCAGAATCGCTCCTTCCCGATGCCAGGGCGTGGGCACCGAGCCCGCGCTGCCCGGCGTCTCCTCGCGCCGGGAGCCACGCGGCCGCAGCCCCGTCCCGCGGCGTGACCTGCGCGCGAGGCGGGTTCCCGCGGCGCCCGCGGCCGCGTTGAGGCCTCCGGACGTCCAGAGGGCGCTCTCCGCGGGACTGGCCAGCCGCTGGGCCTTCGCAGTGTTCAGCCCACAGCCGGGTCCCGAGGAGCCCGCGAGCCACCAAGTCCGCTCGCGGCTTTCACGTCTTCGCCTTCCGTGAGTTGCCGAGAGGTGAGGGGGAGCCGGCGTGGCACCCACCCCGGCAGCCCCAGGTGGAGGAGGGCTGGACACTCGGAGAGGGTGGACTGCAGGGCTAGCGGGTACTTGCATGGAGTTACTGGCCTTGTGGGCAGGCGGGGCCACAGGATCAGATGCGTGGCGTTGGATATACCTGCGGGGAAGGGGCAATGGAGGGAGGGAGGGGTGTATTGAGGTGGGGGTAAGCTTTTCCCCGTACAGGGTTCACCGATTTAAGTGGAAGGCTGGGTGTGGTGCTGAGGTTATTTACACAATTTAGGGAGAGGGCAGCGGAATCCAAAACATTTGAGGTGTGTGCGAGGAGGGGCAGGCGCCCAGGAAGTCATGAGGAGAGAGAGAGAGGCAGAGGGTCGGGGTGGGAAGGTGTACTTGGGACCTCCAGAGTTGAAGAGATGGGTGGGAAGTTAAAGATCCGAAGGCAGGAGTGTGTCCTGTTCCCGGCAGCTGACGGGAAGCGCTGGGAACTCCCCCAGACCCCCAGGACAAATGTGGCATGTTCTTGCCAGGGCTGGGGTGTGTTGCAGAGCAGCTCTGCTCACTGTGCTGGGCTGGGTGGTTTGGAGGGAAGAGGAGCTGGCTTGACCTAGTAGTGACCTGATTTTACCACCTTCCTCCCCTCAGCTACCATGTTCAACCAGCAACTCCAGCAGCAGCTGCAGCAGCAGCAGCAACAGCTGCTGCAGCTTCAACAGCTGCTGCAGCAGTCCCCAGCACAGGCACCCTTGCCGATGCCTGTCAACCGGTGAGTTCCCCAATTGGGAGGCTGTGGTCTGACACACACACCCATGTTTTGGGGCCCGACGCACAGTGCCTGTTTTCTCTCCCAGGGCATCCTTGTTTGAGTGTTAAATGTCATCAGTTTTCCACCTCGGAGGGCACCCTCTCCCTGCCATTGAGAGGGAGAGAATGGAGGTGAGGGGTCTGCAGGTAGATGGCTTTCCCAGCAACCCTCTGACACCCCAATCCCATCACACAGGGGCCTCCCCCAGCAGTCAGCCCAGCAACAGCTTCTGAATCTCCAGGGCCTCCACTCCACCGCCCTGCTCAATGGCTCCATGCTGCAAAGAGCTTTGCTTCTGCAGCAGTTGCAAGGTATGGCAGTCCCCGTGGCCCCCAGTTTCCTCCTACCCCACACAGTCTTACCAGAGCACACAGTGGCCCCGAGAACATCCCTACAGATAAGGAGCCCCAGGGCGCCCAGGAGATGAAAGTCCACAAGCTGCTCTGCCAAGTGCAGAGCCAGCGGCTGTCATGCTGGCCGATCCTGACTCTGCCGATAGGAAACCCTAAGGGGAGGCACACATTAACCCCTCTACAAATGAAAACAACAGCAACCTGAGGCCCAGAAGACGCATCCTGTGTCCATAGTCACCACACAGGTAAAAGATGGCCCCTACCAGAACCACAGTGTGCATAGCCCTTCAAGCTGACCTTCAGTTGATGCATGGGTAATTGGAGAGAGAAAAATCCCGTAACAGGTCACAGGATATACATATATTCATCATTTTTCTTTTTTCCGTTTTAGAAGTGATGCTTGAAAAATAAATAAATAAAAAAAGAGTTATGCTTGTCATAGTAAAAATAATGTGCTAAGATAGAAAAACCAACTACAGCAAAACGAGGGAGCTGGAGAGGTGGCCTCGTGGTTAAGTGTGCTTGCTGCTCTTCTAGAGGACCCAAGTTAGGGTCCAACACTCGCATGGGGCAGCTCAAAGCCTGTAACTCCAGCTCCAGGGGTCTATCACCCTTGTCTCCCTCCCTCCAAGGGAGGCCCTGATACAGGCCTAGCCATACCTACACACATACACATGAATTAAAACTTAAATCCTAAAAAGTAAAGTCTTTGAAAACAAACAAAAACCCCAAGTGGTTTGGGAAACCAAGTGGTCCGCTCACTCTCAGCAGGAAGTCACCAGGCAATATTTTGGTATAATACTAAAAAGAGGGTTTGTGTCTGGTTTTTATTTTATTTTCTGTTTTGCAGTGCTAGAATTTTTGTTTGTTTGTTTGTTTGTTTGTTTGTTGAGATAGGGTCTCACTCTGTAGCCCTGGCTGGCTTAGAACTCACTCTGTAGGCCAGGCTAGCCTCAGTAGGCCAGGCTAGCCTCATGCTCATAGAGCTCCGACTGCCGCTGCCTCCCTAGTGCTAGGATTAAAGTTGTGTGCTAGTATATTTGGCCTTGCTTTGAGACAAGGTCTCACTCGGTACCCCAGGCTATCCTGGAACTTAGTGTGTAAGCCAGAGTGCTCTTGAATTCAGTCTTCCTACCTCATCCTTCAAGGACTGGGATTATAGGCATGAGCTGCCATACCCAGCCAGTATTCTGTTCAGGTTATTTGTGATAGCTTTTAATTTTTCACTAGAGGTGTGTGTCCTTATGGAAACCTCAGTTATCTCTCCCCCCACCCCTTTCTCCTTTTCTGTTTTCTATCCTAAATACCACTGGGATGAACATGACATTTGAGACTCTTTTCTCACCTTAGATTCCCATCATACAATGACTGTGTCGGGGGATGGGTATTTGATGGCTTTTGATAAGTATTGTGAAATTACTTTCCTAAGGACTGGACCAGTTTGCAATGCTACCAGCCACGTATGACAGCACCAGCCTCAACGTGCCTACGGCAGCATTGGGTATTCTATGCTTTTTTATATTTATACCTATGTAAATGTGCATGTGCATATCATTTACTAAGTTGGTTTGCAAAGGCTAAAGCTGTGTCTTAGATGTCTTAATTCACATTTCCACATGCTAGTGCAGCCCAAATGTTTTTATGCTTACCTATTAAACATTTGCATTTTATTTATGACTTGTGCATGTCCTTTGTCCATTTCTGTTTGAGGGCATCCTATCTCCGTCTCACTGTTCATGGGCACTAGATGGGACTGTGTATATGTCTTTGTTGTACCTGTCTATCAGATACACTAATTCATGACTGTGAATCTTCATGTGACAGATGAGAGCAGGGGAACTGGTTTGCTTAAAGTGTCACAGGTAGTGGTGCAGAGTCTGGACTTTCTAACTTGGCTGTTTGCATAACTGACCAATGCCTTTAAGCCTGTGCTGCCCTGCCCTGCATTACCCCTGAAGGCAATGTAGCAGGAAATAAGATGGTGGTCCTAGGCTAGAGGTCTCTAGGGACAAAGACCTCAGGGAAGGCCACTTGGAGGGGAGATAGGAAAGACTTAAAGGGAGGCCTGAAGGGAAGTGATGGTGTATAGCAGCCTCACAGAGGGCACAGCACGCACAAAAGCCCAGAGACAGGGTGCTTGAAGGACAGCACAGGATCGTGTTCCTGGAGTGCAGTGTAAAGCATGTGAGGAGGTGGATGGGGCCAGATCTTGCCTTAAAAGGAGCAGGGAACTGTAGAAGGCCTTAGGCAGGGATGAGGTCAGAATGTAGCCTTAGTGAGATTCCATTTGCTACAGTTCTATGGAGGGATGGAGTGTTTTCGGGAGAGGGAGAGGCTGGTTGGAAATGCACATGAGTGATAGAGTTGCAAGGACCTGGTCTTGGGGTTGAAGGGTAGTTTAAGGAGGAGTCTCAGAGCTAACGGGTGCCCCTCAAGGCCTTCTCTGTTTTGGTCAGCTATAGGAATAGCCATATCTTCTTGGTACCCAGCAGGCTAGAGGGCAGTGAAAAGAGTGCCTAGCTCAGTGCCAGGGCCTTTCCTCACTGATAAAGAGAAGCCGGTGGGGGACCAAGTGCTAAACGGTAGCTTGCTGCTTCTCCTGGCCCTGTGCTGAGTCTCTCACATACCCAAGGGCCTTACAGCATGTCTGAGAACTAGCTGGGGCAGATGGAGCAGAAACCCCACCCTAAGTCCTTTCTCACTGGTGCCCACAGTGGGCCTTGCCTTGGCTTTACTTTCCCTCTGCTGCCCTGGGTAAGAAGGTTCCCCCTCTTGGGAATTATCTCTGGTATTCCCATGATATTTGGGGGGACTGAACCCCTGCTATAATCTTGACCATTCAGCCATGGCGTGGCCCCATCTTCTCACCTCTTCTTCCCCACAGGCAACCTCCGTGCTTACAACATGACAGCCCCAAGCGTGGCAGCTCCCAGCCTTACACCTCCTCAGCTGGTCACCCCGAACCTGCAACAGTTCTTTCCCCAGGCCACTCGCCAGTCTCTGCTGGGCCCTCCTCCTGTTGGGGTCCCAGTAAACCCTTCTCAGGTCAGCCACTCAGGGAGGAACTACCAGAAACAGTCCAGGAACCACTCTTCCACCACCCCCAATCGCAAGGTGAGTAGTGCTTTGAGTGGCGCCACGGTAGGAGTGGATGAAGTGTTACCCCAGTGTCGGCCCAGCTTGGTCTCGCGCTGGCCTTTGGGCAGGTCATGCTCCCTGTCTGTACCCCAGCGTCTAGCGTCTCCTGAACCTCAATATCTCTATGTTCTTGATGTGACTTTAGCCACACCCAAATACCACTACATTATTATTTAGGTACTATTTCTCTCTTAAACAAGTTCTTTATGACTTCATTATCATCATTTATTTTTACGTGTGCCAAGGTGAGCACGTGGAGGTCAGAGAACAAGAGAAGTGGGTTCGTTTTCTCCTCCCACCATATGGGTCCTGGGCACAGAGGTCAGGTTATTAGTTTTGACATCCAGTGCCTTTACCCCCTGAAACATGTCACTGGCGCTTAGTGATATTTCTCTTGACATCAGCAATGTCTAGTAGAAACGAAATGAACCATGTATCTGATTTAAAATTTTTGAGAACCATGTTAAAAAGAAAAAGGTCAAGGTGTAATGACTGACAAGCGTTGGGGGTAAAAGATCGCTGCACATTCCAGACCATCGCAGCTATGCAGAAAGACCTTCAGATTTTAAATTTAAAATTAAAAGGAACAGATAAAAGTTAGTTTTACTGCCAGGTGTAGTCACGTACACCTATAACCTGACTACACCTATAACCTGGCTCTCTGAAGACGGCACGAGAGGATCAGAGGTTCAAGGTCATCCTCAGCTACATAGTGAGTTCCAGGCCAGCTGTCCCGAAACAGTCAAACAAAAATGAATAAAATAAAATAAAATAAAATTTACTAACATACTTTGTTAATCTAATATATTTTTTTAAAAGTTGCCATTTTGACCTGTATAATTAAAAAAAAAAAAAGCTGGAGACATGGCTCAGCGGTTAAGAGCACTGTCTTGTTTTTCCAGAGGTCCTGAGTTCAATTCCCAGCAACCATCTATAACGGGACCCAATGCCATCTTCTGGCCTGCAGGGGTACATGCAAACAGAGCACTAAAATACATGAAACACAAAAATCTTTAAAAAGAAAAAAGAAAAGAAAGAAAGAAGAAAAAAAAAATGAGCTGGGCTGTGGTGGTGCATACCTTTAATCCCAGCACTGGGGAGGCAGAGGCAGGCAGACCTGTGAGTTTGAGGCCAGCCTGGTCTACAGAGTGAGTTCCAGGTCAGCCAGGGCTACACAGAGAAACTCTGTTTGAAAAATATCAATAAATAAATGAATCAATAAGTAAGATGTTATATCCCGGCTGGAGAGGTAGCTGGAGAGGTGGTTAAGAGTACTGACTGCTCTTCCGGAAGATGAAGTTTCAAATCCCAGCATCCACATGGCAGCTCACAACTGCCTGTAACTCCAAGATCTGACACCCTTACACAGACATAAATGCAGGTAAAACACCAATCCACAGAAGATGAAAATAAATTAATTATTTTTTAAAAGATGTTATATCCCCCTTTACTTGCTGATTGATTGACGTTTGTTTGTTAAGAGACAAGGGCTTCCTTATCTCATAAACTTAAAACACGTCTGTACCCCTATGTTGCCCAGCCTGGCCTCAAACTTCCTGGCTCAATTGATCCTCCTGCCTCAGCCTCCCAAGTTCCTAAAACTACCAGTATATTTCACCATACCCCATTTTGTCTTAAAAAACAAAGACAGAAAAACTCAAAGAACCACTAAATCTTCAGTATGTAATGTGTCACTTAAACTTCCATCTTCCTCGAGACTCCATGTTTCAAGCGTTTGCCTGTGGCTAATGGTCATGTGGGACAGGCAGCTTAAAGTTACTTTTAAGGTGTGAGACTGTGGCTCTGTGGTGGAGCGCAGGCTGGCTTGCTGGACGCTCTGGGCTCTGCGGAAGTGAGGAGGCATTTGCATCGCTGCCTAAAAGTTTCAGAAATGTGCGATCCTCAGACGTGGAACGAAGTGGAGTGCCAGGGGGCTTATGGTGTTACAGCTGTCTAAAGTCCCCAGCCTGTGGCTGCTGGTAGGTTCAGTGCTTCATCTTACACATGCTGAGAGACTCAAAAGGAGCATGCAGGCATACGCACATACAAGTACACACGCACACATACACACACTTCCCTCCAGAGAAGGCCTCAGCCTCTGACCTTGTTAGGTCTGGCACACTAAGGTCTTGACCTGCCTGTGCTTCTGTTTTACATATACAGACTAGAGTAGTTGAGGTAGGCACAGAGTCCAGGCCCCTGGCTCCCTGTGTCTTCCAGGGCAAGAGCTGGTAGTTTCTAAAGGACCTAGAGTCCTGAATGCGGGTTACAGATGTGTTTCCCACTGACACTGGAGGCCTTCCCAAGGTACCAAGGAAGTGGCTGGAGCCTGTACCCACTGTAAGCCGCTGGTCAGCAGTGCAGATGTGGCCTGGCCCTTCTGTGGGTCTTGGGTGTGTAAGAGATATTAATGCAATAACATGAAAGCAGTTAAGACCGGAAATAAGTAAGACCCTCAAAGGTGGCAGCAAAACCCAGGAAATTCCACTAAAAGGGTCTAGACATAGTCTATAGTTAGGAGCTTCCTGCAAGAAACTTTGAGGTTCTGCTTGAAGGCTAGAGACAGGCAGAAGCTGGGGGCTTGACTGGAGAAAGGACAGTAAGGGTGCACTGAGACAAACTAAAGGGTAGGAGGAAGGCTGAGTTCAGAAGGGGAAAAGGGAGGCAGAGGCCCAGGGTATGAAAGGAGCAGGAGTGGGCAGTTCCTGGCTTGGGCTTAGGAGAATTCCAGGACGAGGAGACCCTGGGTGAGTTTAAGCCAAAGGCTTTCTCTGGCTGCTTATGGAACAGGGAATGTGAAGTCTAGATGGCTAGTGGAGCCCACCCAGATTCGAATAGCAGTCAGGAAGCTGGATGGACACTTCAGACAGTGGCTCTTGAGGTGTTTCAGGCTGTTTGCCCTTCATACCTTCAGCCAGGCCCCTTTAGTCCCTTGAGATGCTGACAGTCTTTCTTTTCTTTTTTTCCGAGATAGGGTTTCTCTGTGTAGCCCTGGCTGGCCTGGAACTCACATTGTAGACCAGGCTGGCCTGGAGCTCACAGAGATCTGCCAGCCTCTGCCTCCTGAGTGCTGGGATTACAGGAATGTGCCACCACTGCCTGGCAGTGACAATCTTTCTTGAGCAGGAGAGTGTTTGCAAGTGAGGTGGAGGTTAAAAAATGGTTTCTGAGGCTGGGCAGTGGTGCCTCACACCTTTGGTCCCAGTACTCAGGCAGAGACAGGCAGATCTCTGAGTCTGAGGCCATCTTGGTCTACAGAGTTCCAAGACAGCTAGCTGCTCAGAGAAACCCTGTCTTGAACTTCCCTAACCTCTCCCCCCTCCAAAATGGTTTCTAAAAAGAAGCAGGATTCTTCTTCCCAGACGGTGCCTCTGGAAGACAGGGAAGACCCCACAGAGGGGTCTGAGGAAGCCGTAGAGCTCCAGATGGACACACCTGAAGGTAACAGACAAGGGGTTCTGTCCTTCACAAGGGACATCAGGGCAGGGGAGATCTTGGTGGCACGGTGCTGGGCCATTTCCTGGAACTATGTTCCCTCACCTGCTGCCATTGCAGACCAAGATTCACTAGTCTACCCAGATGATATGGTGAGTGAGCCCCCAGAGCCTGAGCCCGAGCCCTTTGAGCCTGAGCCCTTTGAGGCATTGGAACCACCAGCCAAGAGGTTAAAGAGGTGAGTGATGCTGGGGCTCAGAAGCCTGGAGCTCAGTCTTGTAAAGTTAGGCCTCAGCCTCTACTTGGGGGGAGGGTCAGATTCATCCCTGGGTCTACCTGAGGGTGAGCCACGTGGAGGCCGGGCTGGGCAGCTAGAAGGAAGGGGTCCTTGCAGAGCTTGCAGGTGGTGCCAGGTTTATAGGGTTAATTCAAAACCTGTTGCAAGGTGGAGCTTCCCAGACTCTGCATTGTAAGTAGAGCTGGGATTAGGCCTCTCAGAAGATACAGCTTTGATCTTTGGTTTGCTTGTTTGTTTTGTTTTTGTTTTCTAAGACAATCTTAGCTGACCTGGAACTCACTATGTAGACCAGGCTGTACTCAAACTCGTAAGCGATCTGCCCATCCCTACCTCCTTAGGGTTAGAATCAAAGGCATGGACTACCACAGCTGGCTTTTTTATTATCTTTGGGTCTTTCGTAGCTCAGAGAAAGGTGCTACAGGGCAGCCACAAGCAAAGGTCCAGCCTCTTGTTCAGATGACAGCACTGAAGCAGACACAGACCCCAGATCAGCTGCCTGAGCCACCAGGAGCCTCAGTGCTGCCATGTTTCCAGCCACAGGCTCCGCAGATGCAGCCAAAGCTGCAGAAGCAGGCACAGACACAGACGTCTGCAGAACACTTAGCACCAGAGCAGAATCAGGTACAGTCAGCCCCCATGGCAGGCACAGCCACGGGAGACAGACCCCCAGCAGCAAGCTCAGGCATGGACCCAGCCTCAGCCCCAGAGGCATGCACAGCCACAGAAGCAGGCCCAGACACAGACATGTCCACAGGTGTCCACCCAAGCACAACCCCAGGAGCAGACATCAGAGAAGACCCTGGAGCAGCCTCAAACCTGGCCACAGGGGCCAGTACCTCCAGCAGAACAAGCATCCGTTCTGGCCTGTACCACAGAACCACAGCCGTCACCTAATGCTGCAGAAGCTGGGAGAGGTAAGCGAGTGAGCGGCTGTGGACTCCCAGGCAGATACAGCTTTGCCAAACCCTCCAATCTGGCACTGTCTGGCCTTGACTGGGAAATGAGAATTGGGCCTGGGGTCCAGATCTGGGACCATCCCCATCATGGCCTTCAAGGTCATGGCTTGACAGAGAAGTCAGCTCTTGACTCTAGATCTTTCTGGACCCCAGATGGTAGACACACTCTGGGAAAGGAACATACCTGTCATTTCAGGCCCAGAGGAGGCCTTGGAAGAACCAATAAGTGCTCAGGGCAGTGAAGACACGAGCCAGGAGGCGTCAGCTGGTGGCCTGGATGTGGGAGAATGTGAAAAAAGAGCAAGAGAAATGCTTGGGGTGCGTAGACCTCTCCCTGTGGGACTCGGGTCCTGACTCTTCTTTATAACAAAGCTTTAAGCCAGCCTCTCTGTTCTTCAGTGGGTCTCAGTTTCCCCATCCATTGCATGAGTGGTGGTGTGGGTCAGACTTTAGAATTAAGCAGAGCTAGGTTGGGAGAGGTGGTGGACATCTTCAATCAGCCCTAGGGAAGCAGAAGCAGGCTGATCTCTGCGAGTTTCAGGCCACCCTGGTCTACATAGTGAGACATAAATCCGATCTAGGTTCAAGTCCTGCCTATCATATTCTCTGTGTAGGTTTGGGCAGTCACATAAGTACGTAACCTAACCTAACCCAGACAGTATAAACTCATGCTCTGCGACTACCGTAGATGTGGGGCGCTGGGAGCTCCCTGAAGGTCACCATCCTGCAGAGCAGCGACAGCCGGGCTTTCAACACCACATCTGGACCTCGCCCTGGGGACTCTGCCTCCGCCACCCCTGCCCTTGCGAGCACACCCTCCAGGCAGAATCTCCAGTTCTTCTGTTATATCTGCAAGGCCAGCTGCAGCAGCCAGCAGGTAACTCAGGGCTGGCAGAGGAGGAGGGCTGGGCCTTCCAGGCTTGCCTTTTCTACACTGCCTAGGGGCTATACATCTGCTTAGACATATTTCTTGTTCCACTGGTAGAGCAGGATTCTTTTTTTAGGGTCAAGCAAAACCTGCTTCAAATCTGCTGTGACTGACCATCATGGTCTCCAGAAGTAAACACCACTCTTGGCTCTTTTCCTCTTGTGTTCAGTGAGGACAGCCAAGAGCCTACCTCACTGTGCATCTTAGGACTTAGCAATTGACACTGAAGGTCTGGGCCTAGGTCTGGCCCAAGCCAGTGCAGCATTAGTAGTAATAGTAGTCTTATCTGGGCTAATTCCAGCGAGTTGAGAGGCTGAGGCAGGAGGATCATGGGGTTAAAGGCAACCTGGTTGACTCAGTGAGAGCCTTTCTCAGAAGGAAAAAGAAGGAAACAGAGTGCAAGCTGGGGATACGGCTCAGCCCCTGCTTAACCTGTGAGAGGTAGAATAAATGAGTAAATGAATAGTGGTCTTGGCTGGGACTGTCAGTTGCTCCCAGCTGCTGGAGGTTGAAATTGGAAGATCACATGAGAATGTGAGTTTCAGATCAACCTGGGAAATATAGCAAAAACTCAGTATCTATCTTTTTTTTCCCAAAAATTTACTTACTTAGTATGTATACAATGTTCTGTTTACATGGATTCCTGCACACCAGAAGAGGGCATCAGATCTCATTATAGATGGTTGTGAGCCACCGTGTGGTTGCTGGGAATGGAACTCAGGACCTCTGGAAGAGCAAACAGTGCTCTTAAACTCTGAGCCATCTCTCCAGCCCCCAATAGCTATCTTTAAATTATTTAAAAAGAAAAAAACTTGAAAAGAAAGTCCTGTTGCTGGGCATAGTGACACACTCCTGTAATCCCAGCACTTGGGAGAAAGAGACAGGCGGAGCTCTGTGAGTTCAAGGCCAACCTAGTCTACAAAGCGAGTCCAGGATAGCCAAGGCTACACAGAGGACCCCTATCTCAGAACAAAACAAAACAAAATGAAAAAGGAGGCTGGAGAGATGGCTCGGGGGTTAAGAGCATTGTCTGTTCTTCAGAGGTCCTGAGTTCAATTCCAGCAACCACACAGTGGCTCACAGACATCTATAATGTGATCTAGTGCCCTCTTCTGGCGTACAGGATATGCAGATAGGGCACACACTCATATACATTAAAATAAATCTTTTAAAAAAGAAAAAATGTTTATTTTTATTTTATGTGTACAAGTATTAAGCCGTATGTCTATACACTACACGGGTCTAATGCACACAGAAGCCAGAAGAAGACATCGGGTCCAACTGGAGTTACAGATGGCTGTGAGTCATCACGTAGGTGCGGAGAATTGAACCTGAGCTTCAGGAAGAGCTGCCATCTCCGCAGCTCCCCCAGCTTCTTTTCATGCACTTAGTATTATTACCAGTAGCCACTGTCACTGTGACTGTGCTCCTTGTCTGAGCAGGGCCACCTAGAGCCATGATCCTTATCATGAAAGCACTCATGGAAATGCCTCAGCTTACCATCCCTGCCCTGGCCTACACTGAGCTGTGTAAAATCATGCCGGTTTTGGTGGAGTCAGGAGGAGCAGAGATGCAGGGTGGCCATGACATTTGGTGTGGCCCTCCCCTTGGCTGTGGCTCATGACCACCTCTTGCTCATCCATGCTCCAGGAGTTCCAGGATCACATGTCAGAGGCTCAGCACCAACAGCGGCTTGGGGAAATGCAGCACTCGAACCAGACCTGCCTGCTGTCCCTGCTGCCCGTGCCGCGGGACATCCTGGAGAGAGAGGCCGAGTAAGTACAGGCTGGCAGAGGCTCGTGTCGGTTAGTCAGCCTCCCGGGCCCAGCCCAGGATATACGCTCCTCAAGGTCAACCTGAAAGCCAAACATTGCGCTGCACACCATTAACTCTAATCTTGGTCCTCAGTTTCTGTCTATAAAATGTCTCATTGGTGTGTGTGTGTGTGTGTGTGTGTTTCCTAAGGTTCCTTTGAGGTAAGAGCAGGAAACTCCTGTGGAAGGGAGGAGGGTTTTAATACAGGGCCCTGCTCCTCTGGTCTGTGTGCTGGCCCCAACCACAGAAGTACAATGGCTAAGGATTGGGTCCTCTTATGGCCTGGGGTTAGACTTTCCCTGAGTCCTCCTTCCATCATCACAGGGGATGTGGTTGGTCTGAAATGTCTACCCTGGAATCTGGAACCAGCACTTGTGAGAAGGCTTGGTAGGAAGCTAAAGGGAGCTACCAGGCCCCAGTGGGAGTGTCACAGGCCTGCAGGGCTGGGAAGTATCTTTGGCGAAGGCTGAACTGTGTAGACTTAGGCACCGGGAGAGAAGGGCTGTGTCGCAGTGGTTGCCAGAGCTCCCAGCTTTTCAGGAGAATCAGGGAACCTGGATAGCTTATGAAGCCTCAATTGCAGAGTGTCACCAACAAAGCCAGATGCAGTGACACCTGTGATCCCAGCACACTGGGAGGCTGAGTCAGGGATCAAGAGTTTAAGGCCAGCTACATAGTGAGATCTCAGAGTTGACTTACTTAGAATTACTTATTCCAAAGGAAGCCCTGTTGAAGACAAATGAAACCCTTTCTCAAACAGTTTCTCTAACAGTTGTCAGCCAATGGTTGGGACGTCTCCTGAGGAGGAGGAGACAGCAGGGACTCTCGGCTACTCTGCTTTCCGCCTGGCTGACAGGAAGCTCTCCCTTAGAAGAGTCAGAAATCGCTACTCTGTCCTTTGTCTTTTTGATGCTGCAGCTAGGACTCTGGCCCCTTGTAGCAAGCACCAAACTGCTGACCCATGCCCTAGCTTCTAAGCTGCATTACTCTTGCAGAGCACTCCAGAACATAGCATCATGCCCTGCTTGTTTTCATTGTCACAGAGACCCTCCACCAAAACGCTGGTGCAGCACCTGCCAGGTGTACTATATAGGAGACCTGATCCAGCACCGCAGGACACAGGAACACAAGGTCTGAGAGCCACGTGTGCTGCAGAGGCATCTGTGTGCACCACGTCCAAGCCAGGGCGGGGGAGGGAGTCCAGAGTGGGAGTGGGAGGCAGGGTCTATTCTTGTCTCCATGTGACTGTCACTTGTGTGGCTTCTGGTGAGTCAGTCAGTGTTCCTTGTTGGGCTTTCCTTTGCCCATCTGTTCAGTGGAGGCACCCTGTTGTTCAGCCCCTAGCCTCTTGAGGTGTCTTTGGCGCTGTCCTCCTCCTATCCTGTCTCTGTTGCCACCTGCCAGCCTACACAGTGAAGAGAAGTGATCTGCATGTCCCAGTGGGGTGGGGGTGGGGCGGCAGAGCTGAGTTGGCCTGCAGGTTTGAGAATCAAGGTCTCATTGGCCACTGATAGGGTGGCTTGTACCTGGGGCTGCTACCATGTGTCACAGGACCCGCCTTCCTTTCCCCAGATTGCCAAACAGTCCCTGAGGCCCTTCTGCACCATATGCAATCGTTATTTCAGGACCCCTCGGAAGTTTGTGGAGCATGTGAAGTCTCAGGGTCACAAAGACAAAGCCAAGGAGGTAACCCCAGCTGCCTCAGTACAGCGCAAAGCCTTCCCCCAAGAGCACAGAGTCAGAGCAGGCGGGGGGCCTAGGACCCTCAGGGGTGGGTGTTTCCTCGGCTGCCCGTAGCCGACCTAAGCCCCTCACATGTGCCTTGGACAGGTCAAGACATTTGAAAAGGAGGTAGCCAGCCCAGATGATGACCACTTCATCACAGTGGATGCCGTGGGCTGCTTCGAGAGTGATCAAAAAGAGGACGAGGATGATGACGACGATGATGAAGAGATTGAGGCTGAGGAGGAATTCTGCAAGCAGGTGAGTGGGGTGGGCTGTTCGTGGCTACCGGAGCCCAGAGGGGCTCTCCCGCCTCTTGAGGGACCCAGACACCATGGGCATTTATAGGCACAAATATGATGCAATTTGGGTTGTGTCACGTGACCATGGAACTAAGCAGACTGATAGTTTATGCAAGGGCCTTAAATACTATCTGAGACACTGACTGAGGGAAAGGGAGGGCAGAGGGACCACTGTTTAGCCAGGCACAGGAGGCATGCACAGCAGACTGTCCACAATCCTGTGAGGCTTTGTGTAAGATGTTAAAAAAAAAAAAAAATGTGGGCTGGAGAGATGGCTTAGTGGTTAAGAGGACTGTCTGCTCTTCCAGAGGTCCTGAGTTCAATTCCCAGCAAAGCAACTACATGGTGCCTCACAACCATCTATACTGTGCTCTCATGCTCTTTTCTGGCATGCAGGTGTACATGCAGATAGAGCCCTCATCTACATAAAGTAAATAAATCTTAAAAAAAAAAAAAAAGTAAAAGAAATCCAGGTAGATCGGAGGTAGGATGGGGAGAAGGCAGAGGACTAGGAATTACAGTCCAGTGCTAGGGTGCTTGCCTAGCATATACAAAGCCCTGGATTCAGTCTCCATTACCCTGGGGAGCTGGGTTCAGAGGCTGTAGCAGGAAGGAATAGGAGGCAGGAGGACTGAGAAAAAAAAAAGGGGGGGATGGAGAGAAGACTCGGCGGTGGAAAGCAAGTGCTGGTTCACCCATGTCAGGTCCCCCATCGCTGCCTGTACCTCCAGCTCCCGGAGCTTTGCCACCACTAGCCTCTTCAGGTACCCACGCCCCGACACGCTCAAGTGTATTGGAAAAGCAGCCTAAGAGAGGAAGGGTTTATTTTGGCTGGGGAAAGGAGCTAAGTGAAACCCACAAGGCGTACATTGGAGGGACATTCGGGAGGCAAGATTAGCATGTGCCAAGGCTGAGCCGGCCACCCTCAATGACCTGCAAGCCGAAGGGCATGGTTTTGCTCTGGAGGCTGTGGGTGAGCTGCAGGCCCCTGACCTGTGTGCCAGTGGGGCCCAAGGCACTACATCTGTGAGTCCTTACTCTGTCTCCAGGTGAGGTCAAGAGATATGTCTTTAGAAGAAGGGAAGGGCTCAGAGACTTACACGCCCAACACGGCTTACGGTAAGACCCCAGGCTAAGCCCCCAGTCTCAGCCACAGCACTCCAGCCGGGCACCCCACCCTCTTCTCCCACGGAGGGCAGATGTGACTCCCAGCTGATGAGGGCAATTTAAGTATGCAGATCCTGGTGTCTGTTTCCAGGTATGGACTTCCTGGTGCCAGTGATGGGCTATGTCTGCCGCGTCTGTCACAAGTTCTATGACAGCAACTCAGGATTGAGGTTCTCCCATTGCAAGTCCCTGGCTCACTTTGAGAACCTGCAGGTGAGTGGTGGTCTCACTGCCCTGCCCAGGAGCACCGTCTCCATCCCGGCTGATGGGTATGGCCAGCAGCTATTTGCTGCTGTACCAAGCTAGTTCCTGAGCATACTCCCTCAGTAGGGACGGATTCAGGCTTGGCTCTTTGTGTTATGTGTGTATATTGCGTGTGTGTGTGTGTGTGTGTGTGTGTGTGTGTGTGTGTGTGTGTGTTGGGGGTTGGGGCTGCTGATGGACAGGAGTACCCTAGACTAGGCCTATAACTTGAAAACTTTTGTATCCAGAAATACAAAGAAGCCAAGAACCCCAGCCTTGCTACCCGGCCTGGGAATCGCAGGTGTGCGGTCAATGCTCGCAATGCCTTGACTGCGCTGTTCAGCTCTGGCAGTGGCCGCCAGCCCTGCCCCCAGGACACAGTGAAAATACCCAGCCAGGTGAAGCCTGGATCCCCCAGACCTCCTCTTCCCCTTCGGCGCTCAACTCGCCTTAAAACCTGATGGAGGGAGCTCTGGCCACCCAACCTGAGTAAGGCCGGATCTGCTAATGCTTTCTATGTATGTGGAAAATGTTCACGTGGTTGGGGTTTTTAATTCAAAATCCAATAAAGAGTCAGTTGTTTGGCTGTGCAGTCCCCACTAGCACTGTGTCGGGGTGGGGGGGGGCACCTCGTCTCTCTGGACACAGTGTGGTGGAGGACCGGGGAAGCCAACATCAGGCTCCCCAAGATGCAGGGGCTCGGGGGATAGGGCTACAAGCACGTCCTCTTTTGAGCCTCAGTTTCCCTCTTAGGGTTTTAGGGCTGGGAAGGCAACTTGGGCCTCATAGCTGGTGACCCTAGCAGATGGTCTTGCTTCTACCCCCAAGCTGCAGATGAACAAACTGAGGCAGGGTCACAAGACTTGCCAAAAGTCACATCCTGGCAGATGGCCGGGACTTAACACTAGGTGTGAGTTCAGTGCCCTCGTATTGCTGGCCTCCAACCAGCTGCACCTCACAAAAGCCAAAGTAGGGCATGGAGTTAGGATTAGGGGTGTCCTTGCAGCTCTTGGTTCGACAAGAGCTAATCCCTCCTAACCCAGAGACAGATCAGCAGTGAAGGGGCCCATCCTTAGCACTGCTCTGAAGTGCCAGCAGGGACAACTAAGGCTACACGTGGAAGGCACCAAGGTTTACCGTCAGATCCTAGAGGTGGTTATCGTGGCGTAAGGGCCTAGCGGCCAGAGGGGTGGACCGTATCTCATAGTCACACACAGGTCTGTCTCAGCTGGGAGCCAGCTGCTAGAGGGCAGCACACCAGGGAGGGAGGAAGCCCCGACCTCACCCACACCCTCTGGATCAGAAATGAAGGTGGCTAAGAACCGCAGTCTTAGCCAGTCTACTCCATTTGCCTCCAGTGGCTATTGGGGTCCTTATCCTGGCACAAAGAGAAGAAGGGGGCAGTGTTGTGGGAGACCTCTTTAATATGGACACTCGGTCCTGGGTGGGGGAAAAAGAGACCAGGAGCTGGGAAGGCAGACAAATAGGTGAGTTGTGGGACCACACCTGGCTCCAGGAGGGATGGTGATAGGCAGTAGGGACTGGTCCAGGCAGGTAGACCACTGGGGCATCCGAAGGCCAGTACCTGAGATGGTGTCTAAGCCAAGTAGTATCTGCCCAGGCCAGAGCATAGCCGAGGGAGGCGAGGGTGGGGCCTGGTTGGGGGCTCCCAGCACCTAGGGGTTGGCATCACTGGGGGCCTCCCCAAGCTGTTGCTGGAATTCCAGGCGCGTCTGCCGGTTGGATTCCAGCAGCTCCTGGAGGCGAGCATGGAGGTGGTCATTCTTCTCCTCCAGGTGGTCCAGACAAGAGTTGATCTGATCCAACATGGAGTTGATGGCCGCATACTCTGGGAGGAAGGGAAAAGACAGAGGGAAGGTCTTGTGTCTCCTCAGGGCTGACTGATACAGTACACCCCAGTGTCCCCAGATGTCCCTCGAAAGGGCTTTGGGCACATCCCCCATCCCTTCTGACTCGCAGTGTTACCTTCTGAGGAGAAGTGAGGAGGTACCACAAAAGGAAAAGCTTCAAAGAAGTCATCTCTAGCACACCATCTTTTTGTAGGGTTAGTGTGGTCCTGGGACAGTCTGCCAGTGTCCTGGCTGGGTGGCCCTGCCACTCACCAAGCTTCCTCTGCATTTCCTTCTGTAGCTACCTAGAAGTTAGTACCCATGTTCCAGAGCTGGGCACTCAGTCTGCTCCAGGCATGGCCTGACCTCCGGCCCTTCTGTGGCTTTCTCTGCCTTCACAGCAGTGTCTAGAAGCTTCTAGACCCAGCGGCCTTACCCAGCCCTATCCTTGCCTCTCACACCTGCTTTGCCCATCCCAGGCCCTATGAATATACTAATGGCTCTTCCTGCAGTGCGTGGGGGTGGGGGGTGCTCTTGTTTCTCCCTCTGGGATGAATATCATTCATTTCAAGTCTTGGTATGGCTATCGCTAATGCCCCACACGAGATGGGCCTCTGTCCTGATCCTCCACCCTCCGCCATCTTCCTTCAGGCATTGCTGTGGTCATTTGGGTACTGGGCTGTCCTCCAGCCCACACTCTAAAGCTCTGGGAGAGGCAATGAGTCTTGTGTTCTCTGCTTCTCCCCAGTGCCCATGACGACACAAGCACTTACTGAATGAGTGAGTGAATGGATGAAAGAATGAAGCTCTGACTTTCCAGTCCCTGTTTTGCTCAGCTGTCTACCATCTAGAATTCATTGATCACAACAACCCTTCAAGGACCAGCCCAAAATACCTCCTCGAAGTCGTCCTGGCTCTCCTTCCTCTACAGCAGCTTCTGACCTGGCTCTTGGCAATGCTGTGTCCCTTAGGACCCAAGGTCTGGGTCCGTGCCCACTGCGGGACCCAGTTCTGAGCCAGCCCATGACTCAGAAACACTCAGCTGCCAACAGAGGGAAGTAGTTGGTGGATTTAAGGGGAAAAAAAAAAACCCGAGGAGGAGTGTTTGTCTGGGATATGAATGTATATGTGCCTGGCTTTGGGGGATGGTTCCTTCCCATCACCCAGAGAAGGGAGAACAGAGCCTCTGAAGGCTGCTGGATTTTTAAAAAATATTTATTTATTTAATGTATATGAGTGCTTTATCTGCACGGACACCTGCAGGCCTGAAGAGGGATGATCACATTATAGATGGTTGTGAGCCACCATGTGGTTTCTGGGAATTGAACTCAGGACCTCTGGAAGAGCAGACAATGCTCTAAACCTCTAAGCCACCTCTCCAGCCCGTGACTGCTGGATCTTAAAGTCCATCCCTCATGGCCCAGATCGGGAAACTGAGGCCTAAGAGGGAAGGAACCAACACAGTTTCCTATAGCTACTTAGTGATGGGGCCAAAACTCAGACCTGGAGGTCAGAGACCTTAGATTTGAGTCCTAGATCTGTTGTATCCCAGCAACTCCTCATTAGAACAGGTTGGAGACCCTGAGGGTTCCAGTACACGAAGAGCTCAGCTGGGGTCCAACCACAGCAAGTATTTAACGTATAGTTGTTAGGAGCCGTCTTTCCTATTTCAGACCCATCAGAAGGGCTGAGAGAGGAGGTCTCCAGGCTGGGTGCTATGTCCTGCATACTTCCCAGCCATTGTCCCTGCCCTGGGACAGATAGCCTCCCCCCCACCATCCCAGTGTTACTCAGAATTACGCCGCCTCCTCACCGAGACCCCTCTTGATGCTCCCACCATGGCTGCCAGCAGTGGCTGCACAAGCTATCCCTGTTCCCCAATACTAAGCCTGGTGACCCACGGCCTGCCTTCAGCTGCAGGGCCGAACCCAAGTGATAAAAATATTCTAAAACTGCTGGGACAATGGACACCGGTGAGTATGTGAAAAAGGGCAGAACTGGACAGCTTAAATGTGACTTACAGCTCAATGAAGCTCTTAAAACAAAAGCATACCCCATTCTTACTGCACAGTAAGTCCTGTCCACTACGTAAAGGCACCAGGCTTGACCGCACTAAAAATAAATAAACACAACTTGCAGAAGAACCCGGTACACTGGAATCTTAGAGCCTAATCATTTTCCGCCCCATTTTTCCTTTAATGCCAAAACATCTCAATACTGGAGACAATGTGCCCCACCTTGCGGATGAGTAAACTGAGATTCCCAAAAGTGCAACGGGAGGCTGTGGACTAATTCTTCCCCTAAGGACCTTCCGCAGTGCTGTGCATCCAACTCAGTAAGCAGGTCACAACAGCAAAGCCAGGTGGCTGGGGTGCTGACTCAGCACAGTAGGGCGCCCACCCAGCCAACCCCTCCTGCAGAGCCAAGCAGGACCCGCCCCGCTTCAACGCAAAAACTGAAGCAAATCCCAAACCGACAAGCGTCTCTGAAGCCGCCTCAGTTTCCCCGTACGTAACCAAGTACCGCAGCGTCCAGGGATCCATTCGGTAGTGCTCACCATCGCCTCCAGGGTGGCTGTGGAGACAACTCTAGAGCCACCCTGGGGCGGGATGGAACGTCTCTTCAGCCCCTTCCACGCCCCCCCATCCTGGCCCGATTCCAGATCCCAAGACCGTACCCCTGGCAAAGTAAAGGTCGCCTCAACAACGCCCCACCCCTGGGTCACCTGCTTCCCCGAAGCTGTCATTCTCGCCTTCCGCGCCCGCATCCACCGGCATGCCCAGGTCCCCGTTGGGGCCCGACATTGCGGGCTCGGGCGCCGCAGAGGCCACGCAATGGAACTAGGATGGAACTAGGCACGACTGTCGCGCAGAAGCCGGAGCTGGGCGGAAGGTGCAAGCAGCTGATGGAACACCGGGCCGGAAGGGTGGAACGCAGCAGCTCACTGGGGTCCGCCCAGAGCCCAGCCCTAAGGCCTCAACCACGCCCTTAATCCGGGCCCCGCCCCTCCGCCCCTCCTCCTCGCGCTTCCTAGCCCCTCCCCTCTCCTGGATGCTGTGCGCTGTGGTCAGCAGAGTGCGCGCTAGCACCTAAGGCCAGCCGGTATAGCTTGGGGCTTGTTTGAGGCTCCATCCTTCTGCTTCCTCCTCTCTGCATGGTCGGAATCAAACAGGCGGTTTCCAAACCCATCTGTAGCTTCGAGAACTTTCTGTTTGCAGCGCCTCTCCTCTGCAGTCACCATGAATCTTTCCCATCTCCCCCTGGTGCTGCAGAGATGACCCACAATGCCTATGCTATCTTGGCCTCATCACTTCTCTGGGGGCACTCAAAGGCCACACTTTGAGAGGGACCCCAGCCCTGGACAGCAGATGTAGAGCCAGTCCGTTTGACCCGTGCCGTTGGGGAGGCGTGTGAGGCTCTTCTCAAAGAGCGCCAGGGCTGTGTGTCAGGTTCCCCGTACAGAAAGGGCTTGCTGTGCTCTGCTGTAGGTGCTGGGGCCCTAGAACGTCTGTGTGCTAAATGGCCCTGCTTCTGGCTGTCCATCATGGAGGGCTTCAGGCTAAATAACCTCCAGCACTCACTCCCCCCCAACTCCATGCACGGGGTGGGGGGAAGGAGGCCTGTACAGAGTCACCATTCCTGACCACTCGTGGGTCTGACCCATAAGAGCAATCGGGCCAGGTCCAGCTCAGTGTCAGGGTGGTAAAGTGAGGGACGCTCACTTTACCGGGAGTAATGGCCAGGAGACCCCGTAGCATGAGCTGCTTGTTCCTAGTGTCACAGTGGCTATCCCAGAGTGCAAGATGTTCTTAGCTTCTTCCCCCAAACCCCAGGCGGAGCACAACCCTGTGGACACCATGACACTAACGCAAACTTGGGCATCCGGAGCTGGAAGAGAATACCTGCAAGCTGCCGTAGCTGTCCGGGTGTTGCAGCTTGTTAAGGTACCAAAGGGAAGCTTATCTGCGTTAGCCAGGAGGGAAACAAAGCCCTGCTTGTGCCACGAGAGCTTGACTTGAAGGGCTCGACAGGAGCAAGAGGCTATGGGAAGGTGACTTCCTAGGTCCAACACAAGAAACCGGAACTAGGCTGGAGAGATGGCTCAGCAGTTAAGAGCACATAGTGCATTAACCCCAGTTCAATGCCCAGCACCCATGTCAGGCAGCTCACACCCACCTGTAGCACCAGCTCCAGGGAAATTCAATGTCTCTGGCCCCCTGAGGCACTTAACACATCCGTACACACTTATTCACACACACACACACACACACACACACACACTATTAAAAGTTAAAAAATAAAAATATGGAGCCAGGCGGTGGTGGCGCATGCCTTTAATCTCAGCACTTAGAAAGCAGAGGCAGGTGGATCTCTGTGAGTTCAAGGTGAGCCTGGTCTACAGAGCTAACATCAGAATAGCCAAGGCTACACACACACACACACCTGTCTCAAAAAATAAATAAATAAATAGGTAGATAACTAGATAAATAAATAAACATAAAAAGAAGAGCTGAAGAGTTGGCTGCGTGGTGAAGAACACTGTTCCAAAGGACATGGGTTCAATTCCCTGCCCCGATATGGTAGCTCACAACTGTCTGTAACTTCAGCTGCAGGTGATCTGATTCCTTCTGGTCTCTATGGGAACTGCAAGTACGTGGTTTGCAAACGTACTAAGGGAGGCAAAAATCCATATAAATTAAATTAAATTAATATAAATAAGTAAAAAGCGGAGGGGGGTGTCCACGTCTTTAATCCCAGCACTTGGGAAGCAGAGGCAGGCAGATCTCTCTGAGTTCGAGGCCAGCCTGCTCTACAGAGAGAGTTCCAGGACAGCCAGAACTCACATAATGAGACTATGACTCAAAAGAAAGAAGCTGGATCTGCTGCTCAGACTGGAGTCCAGGAGTGGAGCATGTGGGATGCTTTCCTGCCTAGCCACTGGGGCTTTAACCAGTCGGCCTTAGACATACCTCTCAGCCTGGCACCTTCCTGGGGCTGGACACAGCCTCCTTCCCCCACATCCCTCCGATTTCAATGCCATCTGGTGAGCAGGGTCTCAGGTCTGTCCTGCCCCCTTTGGGACTGAGGATGGAACTGGTCACCACCTAGGCACACCCTTTTCTTCAGCCAAGACGGACGGGCGGGCATATGGGTGTGAGGTGGGAAAGCAGGGGCTCACTTGGAAAACCATGTGTTCTGACGAGAGGGAAGAGAAGTGGGAAGGCTTTCCTGTGGTTAATGTAGAGAAGCTCACAGCTGTGAGCAGTGGGGGACAAGGTCTTGTCAGTATGGAACAGGCCCGGCCTCTATGCACAGCTGCGTGCCCTCCTGCCCTGACCACAGACTCCCAGCAATCACAGAATCCAGGAACGGTCGCACTGAGGTCATGCCCCCTCCAGGCTCTTCCAGCTTCCCAGGCCTAGAGGCATTACTGCTGTGGAACCTGTGGTAGGTGGCCAAGAGCAAGATAGCCTTTGGAGGCAAAGGCAGGGAGACTCTTGCGCTGCTCTGGGGGTGAGCCAGGACTTGATGAGGGATACCAAGCCAAAGCAGCAGTTGAGTGTGGAACTGTTCTGTCTAGGGACTCGGGGAAGGTGGGGGCCAAAATGGTGGAGCTTGAGGGAAGGCTGGAGTTTTGTAGCCTTCCCTGGCCTTCTCTCTGAGGCCCTACCATCACACTGGAATGATATTGGTGTGAGCCCACCCTTTGCCCTTCTGCTCCTCATTGTTACGGGGTTAAAGCAGCACAGACTCAGAGAACTGGGGACGTGTTTATTTAGCAGAAGAGCAGGCTCCTTCAGTGGGGCAGCTTTGGGAACAGGTGGATGGGCAGGGCTGTCTGAATAAAAAGAGGTACCCAGTGCTCACTGCTATTGTGGCTGGTGGGGCAACCAGGTGGTTCTCTGGCAACAGGGAAGATGGGGCGGAGGGCAGACAGGAGGCACCTGAGAGAAGATTGCTGAATCAAGACACCACAGTTCAAGGGAGGAATAAAGACAAGCTGGAGAGCCCAGTCTGCTGTGCCCTGGCCTCCCAGCAGGCCCCTTCCTGTCTTGGTCAGTCATACTCACCGCCTGTTCAGCCATCAATGCATCGTTCTGTAGGAGAAAATGCTCATCAGAACAGAGTGGTGGGGGGGGTGCTCTCTGGCTGCCAGGAGCTTGGGGCTTCTTTGTGGTTGGGGCAGCAGAGGGACCCGTGTGGAGCAGATATGTCTCCCAAGTCATGGGATGGGGAGAAGCTCTGGTCAGCAAGGTTCAGGGTTTGGAGAGGAAATAGCCTTCGACTATAAGAAGGAGGTGGTTCAGAGCAGCAAGCCTGAGGAAGCTTGGACGGACATGAGCCTGGAATTCCCATCTGAGCATGTCCTGGGTCAACCGCCAGAAGGAAAACTTGGGGCTGAGATCCCTAAGGGCTCCCTAGAACTCAGGGTGTCCCAGAGTCTCCCAGATGTCAAAGCAGAGGATCAAGTCTTCCCTTTCTCTGGTAGGGTGGGTATCAGTCTGGACAGCTGGTCCCCCCGACCCCCACATCTCCACATTCCTTCCGACTCTCCCCAGTTAGCCATTACCGATGGGGACAGAGAAGACGATACGGTCATTTGTGAGGCCCAGAGAGGTGGCAAAGCTGGCGAAACGCTTCTTCAGTTCAGAAGGCAGCTCCTTGGTTCTCCCTGCAAGCAAGATTGCCACAGAATGGCCAAGAAACACTCTGTAAACATCACTGAACTAGCAAACGAGGCCTCAGACCTCTTTTCCTGGGAGGTCTGCAGAAGGACCACTCCTTGAAGGGGCTGAGACCTTGAGACCCCAACCCTGTGTGTAACCTGAACTTGAGCCCCTAAGGGTCAGGAGAGAACTCACCATACAGGGTAATCTTGAAGTACTCCTTGTTCCCAGCAGTCTTCTGGAAGAATACTATGGCAAACTGGTCGTAGTCAGTTTCAGCCACTTGTACAGTGTACTTTTGTATCCCAGGGTAACCTGAAGGCGTGAAGAACAAGGGATGGAGAAGGAGGAAAGTTCTCCCCAACTTTCATAATGGTTCTTCCCGTAATGAAATCTGAGTGGAGAGACAAGGACCCCAACTGATTCAGAACTCACTGTGAATGTTTCCCAGGGTGAACCGGCCAGCTTTGGAGCTTGAAACAAAATTTCTCTTCCAGTAGTCACAGCCCTGGTCCCTGCGGGAGAGAGAGATGGGAATGAGCAAAGATATGACCCAGGCTAGGATTCTGGTGTCCCATCCCTGTCCATCCAACCGATGAAGCTTCCCACCAAGCCTGACAGGAGGCCTCACCCACCCACCTTAGATGCACCTGGGCCTTTCCACTCTGAATCTGCCCAGCCTGACCCTGCTGAGACCATCCCTCAGGGTGCCCTGTGCCCTCTCCCGTTGCCTTTCCTGGGTGGCCTTCCCTGTACACACATAATCCAGGCCCCAGACAGTCTCCCTATTTTTCTCTGCTCCCTCTCCACCACCTCCCTTGGCAGCCCGCTCCAAGCTAAGCTCCTATACTCCTATGCTCCTAGCCCTTAGGCCAAATGTGAACTTTTCCCCACATCCCACTCAATCCCCTGCCCCCCCATAACTGAGCTCCCCATACCTGCCTTTCATCTACCCTTTGCTCTTCAGATATTTTACTCCAATTGCAGCCTACCCAGGTGTCTGAGTCAGTATCACACTACAGGTGCTGGGCCCTGGCTCCACTCTCCAGGCCCTGGCCCCCCCCACCACTGTCAATCTTCCCAATTGACTGCCTGACCTCACCTGCTTTATTCTTCCCATTGCAGTGACACCTTCCCCCATTCTGCCTTGCTCCAACTGAGCCAAGACTGTCCTTAGAGGAATCCCAGACCAAGGTCTGGCATAAGGCCAGGTGCTCCAGAGACTATTCCTCTCACACCTAGTTGCCCATCAACGCTTGCTCAGGTAGCCATGCCAACGGCTTCCTGCATCTTGAAGGCACAGCATCTGATATAGTTTCCCCCAGCTCCGCTGTGCACACTTCTGCTTCCTTCTGAGGCACGAGGAGACCACGGGTAGGGTTGAAGACTGGATTCAAAGTCCCTCCTTCCTCATGTTCTTTTTGGTGTGTGTCTGTGTTTGTTCACATGTGTGCGTGTGCACATGGCGGCCTGAGGGCAACTCTAGTGTCTTCCTCAAACACTCTCTACCTTATTTTTTTAATTAGAAAAATTGTTATTGGATTTGGGGATTTAGCTCAGGGGTAGAGCACTTGCCTTGCAAGTGAAAAGCCCTGGTTCTGGTTGTGTGTATGGATGTTTTGTTGGTGTGTATCTCTGTGCAACACTGAGGAAAGGTGCTTGTGGAGATCAGAAGAGGGTGTTGGATCCCTTGGAACTGGAGTTACAGACAGTTGTAAACTGCCATGTGTGTGCTGGGAATCAAACCCAGGTCCTCTGCAAGAGCGGCTAGTGCTCCTAACCACTGAGTCATCTCCCCAGCCCCTCCACCTGATTTTTGAAACAAGACCTGTCACTAAACCTGGAACTCAATAATTGGATTAGACTGGCTGCCCAGCAGGTCCTAGGGATCCTGACCGCACCTGCCAGGGCTGGGGTGCCTCAGCCAGTTTCTCTGTGTTGACTCAGGGGATGGAACTGAGAATTTCACGCTCACATGGCCTCCACTCAGCAGCCTGGGAGACCTTCCTAGCCTTCTCCCTCGCATTTTCTGTGGACCGTGTGTCCATCCCCCTTTTGACAGAAGACAGGACTGGGGGAAGAAAAGAGCAAGAAACAGATCAAGCCTTGGATGTGACAACGTGGGACGACAGGGCTTTTTACCTGAGCAGGATGGAGGTGACGTTGTAGCTCTTGTCCTCTTGCAGCTCATAATGGGTGCTGTACATTGTGAAGCGGCCTTGTTTGTCTTTCTGGACCGCATTGCCTGCCAGGCCCACGGCATACCATTTCCCCTGGAACTGTAAGAGGCTAATGACAGAGGGGGCCAGGAATGCTGCTGCCAGGAATGGTGAGCTCCTCCTGCGCTGTTCCTGTTGGTATCTCCAGGCAACCCCAGCAGGAGGGCAGCAGGGTCCCAGGGAGGAGTTAGGTTCCTCCAAGGCTAGACAAGACCCTAGGTGGAGTTAGCCTTGAGTTGGCAGGATGGGGTGGTCCTGGGAGAGGGTGAACCTCCATTTCCTCCTCAGTGCAGCGTGACTGAAAGAGATTCCTGCCTTACCTGAACAATAGAGATTTGGGAGAGGAGGTCGAGACAGAGCAGAATGAGGTGTCCCTCCCACTGGGACTCAGGGTGATGGTGAGCTGAAGCCTGAAGCCTGGACCCTGGACTCCAGGCATCCTAGCCATCCTACCCAGTGCTGCCCGTGAAACCTTTGGCTTCTCCTCCCTTCTGCTCCCCGTTTCTCCTGGCTCCTCCTGCAGCAGCCCTTCCAGGCCCCTACCTTATCGTGCTGGAAGTTGGGCTGCAGGGAGACCTTATCCAGAGATGGGGCAGGGATCAAGTTCTGAGCTGGGTCCTTGGCCTGGTTCTGCAGGGCCCCAAGCAGGGAAAGGCCCAGACACAGGACACCAAGGGCCATGGTTTCAGCAGTTGCTGGGTCCAGTATGTATTGGAGGAGGAGGAGGAAGGAGGGAAAAGGACTCTCCAGGGGCCCTCTTTATGGGTCACCTGGCTGCCAATCGTCCCGCTGGGTGGGGTAATCCATCATTTACCAAGTCCAGCAAGCGTGAGGCAATTGCCAGCACATCCTGTTGAAATACTTGGCAAGATATCTGTCCTTCTCTGCCCCAGGTCAGGATTGTGCAAGGTTGAGCTACTCCAGGAAGGGCTGCAGGGGACAGGGACAGGAGGGACATTCATTCGTAAGCTCAGGACTCTGACAGGCACTAGGCCACTGCCTGTGGGGTCAGCAGCTCAGATCTGGCCGCTCTCCCTACCCCTCTGACCCCCTAGAAGTCCTAGCTCACCAGAAACTCAAGATGGTATGTGTGGCAGAGGCCCCTCCCTGCACCCACACCCACGTAAACCAAAAATGTGCCACTCAACCAGACCCCATAAAGTTTCCTGGTTTAAAAAAGGGCGGGGCATCTGAGAGTGAATGTTTTCCACTTGGAAGAATGGGACACCCTGTTCTGAGCCTGCCGAGCTCAGACTTGGTCCTGGCTCAAGGTGAGGTGTCCAAAAGACTAGCGTGGGAGGGTCCAATACCTTGAACCCCTTCACTTCCCCATGACCCCACCGCCATACGGCAGCAGCTCAACTCTCATACCCCCTCCCCAAATCCTGTACCACACAGTCCTTGCTGTGGCTGCTTTCAAAGCCAAGGGCTGCAACCATGGTGCCAACTTGCCATGGAGGAGAAGGGGATCACATGATGAGAACACCAGTCCCTCAGGAAACATCGGTACAGGTCCACACTGCCCTGTGAGCTCCAGCCATGTTGGATCAGGAGGCCGGGTTCCACCTGTCTTTAAGAACTCGTCTTCCCTTGAGAAGACATAGCTGTCTTTGGCCATAGCCTTGAGCATGGTAGCCTAGTGGCCCAGCCTCAGGGGGTCTCCCTCCGGAGCTGATTCCAGCCTAGTCCTGAAGGAAGCCATGTCCTCACTGGGGGGCCTGGCCAGCATCCATGGAAGGCAGTGATGGGTCCTAAGTGCTGTACTCTGATCCCTCTGAGGTGGCTTGCTTAGACGCTGATCTGGACATCTGACCTGAGGCTGAACTCAAGTCCTTTGGCCCTGCACAGGACAGAAAGGGCCTGTTGATCTACCCACTTATGCTCCTGACCTTCCTCCTCCCCCCACTGCCACCTGAGCTCTGGAGTGGTTAGCCCTGAGGGAAAGAGCCTAGAGGGGGATCTTAAGCTGATAAGCAGGATGGAGCCTCACCCTGCCCCTGCCCCCCTCCGCACACCTAGGATGCACCCCCCCACCTCCATGCCCCATGAGCTGGGGATGTAGCTCAGTGGTGGAAGGTTTGCCTAGCATGTGAGAGCCCCCAGGTTCTATCTCCAACGGCATTAAACAAACAGACAAAAAAAAAAAAAAAAAAAAAAAAAAAACCCACAAAACTTTCCAATTTACTAAACACATTAGTTTAAAAGCTATCTTTGAGCCCAGCAGTGGTGGTGGCATGCTTTTAATCCCAGCGCTCGGGAGGCAGAAGTAGGTGAATCTCTGTGAGTTCGAGGCCAACCTGGTCTACAAAGTGAGATCCAGAGCAGCCAGGGGTACACAGAGAAACCCTGTCTCAGAGAGAGAGAGAGAGAGAGAAAAAAAAAAAAAAGGGTGGGAGGGGAAATGGCCTAGCTCAGGACCCTAGCTGTTCCAGGTACTTGTTCCAGGTACAAGGCACCTGCACGCTCCGTTGATGCCTGCTGTGTGTACCTTCCCCAAAGGAGTCTGCTAGGTCTCCTGACACCCACCGCCCCACCAAAATAGGATCCCATATAGCCCTGGCTGGCTTCAAACCCCCTCTGTAGCCAAAGATAACTTTGAACTTCTCGTCCTTCTGACTCCAGCTCTCATCCAGTCTGCTTCCTTCCTTCCTTCCTTCCTTCCTTCCTTCCTTCCTTCCTTCCTTCCTTCCTTCCTTCCTTCTTTTTCCTCCTGCTTCTACCTCTATAGTGTTGGCACGTGTCACCAACCATGCCAGCTGTCCTATCTGTCTGTCTGTCTGTTTATTTATTTATTTAGATACCAGGTCTCCATTGTGTAATCTGGGCTGATACTGAATTTAGCAGCAGCACGAAGTCTGGGTTTTAAGCCTAGAGAATTTAGCTTCTTTACAACCTCCACCCAGGTCTAACCCTAGGTTATGGCATCTTAGGAATCCAGTCGCCCTGATCTGGTTTCCCTGAAGCAGGAAAGCCTGGCTTCGAAGGGCTGGAGCTAACGCAGCCCCACCCTCCCACCCCAACCTTGGGCCTGCTTGCAATGTGCAGGGCCACCAATTAGGCTTCTCAGAGCCAGGGCTGCCTGGGAGGAGCCCTGAGGCAAGAGAGCCTGCTGAGGATTTAGGAATACTGGTCAGTGGTACAGCACTTGCCTAGTGTGCCCAGGGTCCGCAGCTCTGCTAAATAAATAATAAATAAATAGGCCCAGGTGGCCCAGGAAAATGGTAATGTCCCGGGAAATGTTAATGTCCACAGATGGGTCCAGTGGCCTCTGCTCCCAGTTACTCCTGTGGGAAACAGTGTCCAGCGGGAAATGCTCACTTCTCCAGGACCTTGACTTGAGTCTCTGTTTCCAGAAGTGTTTTCACACCAAGAGGCTCCAGGACCTGGAGGGCCTCCTGGCTCCTGCCCCTTCCGTAGCCTGAAGAAAACCCAGTAATATTCAACCCACGCCCCTAGCACTGGGTACTCAGTGAAGATCTAAAATTTACCCAGGTGCCCTTTACCATAGGATGAGTAAAACAATGACGGTTTGTCCTGTAAGCAAACAATTTCCTCCAGATACCCAATATTTGCTAAATGTCAATCAGTCAACAAACTGCCTAGCTGGAATTTCCCAATTTACCTCGCTGTAACCCTAAATAAAAAGCCTCCTCCCCCTGAGCTCGAGGCTCTACACTCAACTGCTGCGTCAGTGAGGGGTTAGGGCCAAGCTGGAGCTTGTCATAAAAAGATCCTACTGCATTTGCATTGCAATCAGCTCTTTGGTGGTCTTTGGGGTCCACGAGACTTGGGCATAACAGTCATATAACTGAAAAAAATCTTACTGTCTCTCTATTTTTATTTCTTACCTCTATTTACTTAGAGACAGAGTCTCATGTAGCCTAGGCTGGCCTTGAACTTTCTATGTAGCTGAGGGTGACCTTGAACTGCTAATTTCTAAAAAAAAAAAAAATATTTCTTATTTTATTTATTTATTTGGTATTTTTTGAGACAGGGTCTCACTAGGTAGCCTTGAATGTTCTGGAAATCACTAGGTAGACCAGCTGGCCTTGAACTCACAGAGATCCATCTGTCTCTACCTCCCAAGTGCTGGAATACAGGTGTGCATATCACATCGGGCAGGTGTACATCGGGCAAGAAAATAGCTCTTAAACTGGGCATAGCAAGACACTGTCAAAAAAAAAAAAAGAAAGGAAGGAAGGAAGGAAGAAAGGAAGAAAGGAAGAAAGAAAGAAAGAAAGAAAGAAAGAAAGAAGGAAAGAAAGAAAGAAAGAAGGAAAGAAAGAAAGAAAGAAAGAAAGAAAGAAAGAAAGAAAGAAAGAAAGAAAAGAAATGTATCTTCCCCTTTAGCAACCACCAGCTGCCCACAGATCCTTGGGGAGGGGTAGGACCTTATGAGCCTGTTCCTCTGTACTCCTGGTTTTTATTCCAAAGCATGCATGCCTATGCATGTGAGACAACCAACAGGCCCACAGGTGCGGGTCAGCCCAGGAGGCAGGGCGATGCAGCCCGGGAGGCAGGGGAGTGCATGTTGGAGTGGTTAAAGACTAGGTGCCTGAAAGCATGTCTCTAACTCCAGAACCATGGCACCAGGTCATTGCCTAGAGGACCCCTGGACGCTCTGAGAGGAGCGAGAGCATACTGTCTATCCCACTCATCCCAGTGGTCTCAGTGGCTGAGTCTACCCTGGGAGAAGAGGCATGGGTGAGTCTCTGACAGGCAGTACCGATGGGGCAGGTTCCACGGGGCCAGTGTGTCTACCTTTACAGAGAGCTGACCTGAGCCGGTGAGCTGGGCAGGGAAGGTGGCACAAGGAACAAGGTAGAGCCGTGTTGACAAGGGCTCCCAAGATCTTGGCCTTGGCCCGGGCACTTCTTGGAATCCTTCTCAGGAGCCCACATTAGGGCTTAGGCCACGGTGTCCACCATCCCCCATGGCTCTCAGGACACCTTTCAGGGTGGAACTTCCTGTATTGGTGTGGTGGACAGACAGAGGACATAGGACTGGGTACCTCACTCTGGACCCAGGGTCCCTCAGGCCTTGGGGGTGGGGTTATACACCCAGGCACCTTGAGATTCTCAGCCTTGTCCGCCAGAGGCAGGTCCCCCTCCTGACACCGCTGGGTCTCCTTGTCCATGTCACTTCCCCCATACTCCTGGGTTCCCTGGATTGAGCCCACTTCTTCCCTGCTTCCTATGGCCTCCCATGGTGGCCCACCCCTTCCTCCACACTTGGCCTCCTCTCAAGAGCAAACTTTCCTAACAGTGTATTTCCTGACAATGGCTTCTGCAATTGGGAAAGACTGAGTTTCCCAAATTACTGTAATACAACAAATTACTACATTTGTTGTCTTAGAATCACCTCTTCTGAAAACCTCCTGCCTGGGGGTTGCCTCCCAGCAGCCCACGAAGTCAGGAGGGGCAGGAGAGGAGAAGCTTGCCAGGAATGGCTGGCGAGAATCTTACAGGGATCATACACCCTGGGAACAGCCGAAGGCTAGTTCAACTCTAACTCCAGAGAACAAAGACTATATAGGCTTAGAGACGGGGGTAGGGCACTCCAAGAATAGGTGAACGTAATTGGTTGGAACGTAATTGGCACTTCAAGATGCTTGATTTGCATTATACAGCGTGCTCCTATCAGAAGAGTAGAATGTCAGTGCTTAATTAACATAGGCACAGGGAGGGCGGAGCTGCCAGGGAGCTGGGTCAGAGGCCGTACATCAGGGTGGCTAGGGGAAGCTGTATCTAAAGGCACTCT